TATATAGCCTACTAACCAGATGTGGTCCTCTGTAGCTCAGCTGGTAGAGCACGGCGCTTGTAACGCCAAGGTAGTGGGTTCGATCCCCGGGACCACCCATACACAAAAAAATGTATGCACGCATGACTGTAAGTCGCTTTGGATAAAAGCGTCTGCTAAATGGCATATTATATTATTATTATTATGTGTTAAAGAGTGTTTAATTTGTAGCGTAGGCCTATGAATTGGGCCGCTATTATGTTCTGTTCTGCTGAATATTAGCTGAGAAAAAGTTGGCTCAATGCCAAACGGTAGAGTCAGTAGGTTGCTATCGCTTCAGGTCTGGCTAAAGAGTTATTGTAACTCTGTCAATGTTGTCTTTATTGATAACTTTGACACTTTTTGGAAAGAGAAAATATTCTACAAAGAAGACTGAATTCACCCAAACTATCTCGGGGCTTAAACACTGCAAGGCCATTTTAAGGCTGCTCTGAGAGACTGACTGGGATAGAACCGGCACTCTGCCCAGGTTATCCCAACCATCATCACACATCAAACTGTTTCTGATTTTAAATACTCTAGTCAAGTCAAGGAAAATCTACATTATCCCTGTCTTAATTTCAATAGGATTTAAACAGCCACCAAATAGATGCAGCCGCAGGCCCTTTGGCGCTTTGATAACCTACTTACTTCCCATGAGATCTCCTGACTTAATGATCAAGTTTATAACGACCTGGTTAGGGTAAATATGGACACCCCTGCTGTTTTTAAGTCTCACAAAGGGCTGGGTTTGTTACATTTAAATGTGCGAAGTATGATGTCAAAGATGGACTTTATCGATATCTGGATGCATGATGGGAACACAGACATTGTTGTTTTATCAGAGACTTGGTTAAATGATTCGACCATGGATAAGGACATTGTTGTTTTATCAGAGACTTGTGTAAATTATTCGACCATGGATAAGGACATTGTTGTTTTATCAGAGACTTGGTTAAATGATTCGACCATGGATAAGGACATTGTTGTTTTAGCAGAGACTTGGTTAAATGATTCGACCATGGATAAGGACATTGTTGTTTTATCAGAGACTTGGTTAAATGATTCGACCATGGATAAGGACATTGTTGTTTTATCAGAGACTTGGTTAAATGATTCGATCATGGATAAGGACATTGACATTGGCTAATTACAACATGTTTAGACAGACAGAGAAAGGTGGAGGGGTGGTGGTGTACACTACCAGTCAAAAGTTTGGGCACACCTACTCATTCAAGGGTTTCTCTTTATTTGTAAAAAATTTTACATTGTAGACTAATAGTGAAGACATCAAAACTATGAAATAACACACATGGAATCATGTAGTAACCAAAAAAGTGTTAAACAAACCAAATATATGTTATATTTGAGATTCTTCAAATAGCCACCCTTTGCCTTGATGACAGCTTTACACACACTTGGCATTCTGAATTTTGGGTAAGGATTAATTGTCATGGTGATTGTCATGGTTATTGTCATGGTGATTGTCATGGTGATTGTCATGGTGATTGTCATGGTTATTGTCATGGTGATTGTCATGGTTATTGTCATGGTGATTGTCATGGTTATTGTCATGGTGATTGTCATGGTTATTGTCATGGTGATTGTCATGGTCATAATTGACTTATTTTGTTGTTGTTCTGACATACTTTGTGAATACATCACCGTTTTGGTGACACCCTTGTCTAAAAAACAAAACGTTTTGTTGGCTGCTTTTCCTTCACTCTGCGGTCCAACTCATCCCAAACCATCTCAATTGGGTTGAGGTCGGGGGATTGTGGAGGCCAGGTCATCTGATGCAGCACTCCATCACTCTCCTTATTGGTCAAATAGCCCTTACACAGCCTGGAGGTGTGTTGGGTCATTGTCCTGTTGAAAAACAAATGATAGTCCCACTAAGCCCAAACCAGATGGGATGGCGTATCGCTGCAGAATGCTGTGGTAGCCATGCTGGTTAAGTGTGCCTTGAATTCTAAATAAATCACAGACAGTGTCACCAGCAAAGCACCCCCACACTATAACACCTCCTCCTCCATGCTTCACGGTGGGAAATACACATGCAGAGATCATCCATTCACCTACTCTTCGTCTCACAAAGACACGGCGGTTGGAAACGAAATCTCAAATTTGGACTCCAGACCAAAGGACACATTTCCACCGGTCTAATGTCCATTGCTCGTGTTTCTTGGCCCAAGCAAGTCTCTTCTTCTTATTGGTGTCCTTTAGTAGTGGTTTCTTTGCAGCAATTTGACAATGTAGGCCTGATTCACGCAGTCTCCTCTTAACAGTTGATGTTGAGATGTGTCTGTTACTTGAACTCTGAGAAGCATTTATTTGGGCTGCAATCTGAGGTGCAGTTAACTCTAATTAACTTATCCTCTGCAACAGAGGTAACTCTGGGTCTTCCTTTCCTGTGGCGGTCCTCATGAGAGCCAGTTTTATCATAGCGCTTGATGATTTTTGTGACTGCACTTGAAGAAACTTTCAAGTTTCTTGAAATTTTCCATATTGACTGACCTTCATGTCTTAAAGTAATGATGGACTGTCATTTCTCTTTGCTTATTTGAGCTGTTCTTGCCATAATATGGACTTGTTCTTTTACCAAATAGGGCTATCTTCTTTATACCAACCCTACCTTGTCACAACACAACTGATTGGCTCAAATGCATTAAGAAGGAAAGAAATTCCACAAATTAACTTTTAACAAGGCACACCTGTTAATTGAAATGCATTCCAGTTGACTACCTCATGAAGTTGGTTGAGAGAATGCCAAGAGTGTGCAAAGCTGTCATCAAGGCAAAGGGTGGCTACTTTGAAGAATCTCAAATATATAAAATATTTTTTTGATTTGTTTAACACTTTTTTGGTTACTACATGATTCCATATGTGTTATTTCATAGTTTTGATGTCCTCACTATTATTCTACAATGTAGAAAATAGTAAAAATAAAGAAAGACCCTTGAATGAGTAGGTGTGTCAAAAGTATTCAGACCCCTTGACTTTCTCCACATGTTGTTGTTACAGCATTATTCTAAAATTGATTAAATCGTTTTTTCCCCTCATCAATCTACACACAATACCCCATAATGACAAAGCAAAAACAGGTTTTTTAGAATTTTATGGCTAATTTATTTTAAAAATCACATTTACGTAGGTATTCAGACCCTTTACTCAGTACTTTGTTGAAGCACCTTTGGTAGCGATTACAAGCTTGGCACATCTGTATTTGGGGAGTTTCTCCCATTCTTCTCTGCAGATCCTCTCAAGCTCTGTCAGGTTGGATGGGGAGCGTTGCTGCACAGCTATTTTCAGGTCTCTCCAGAGATGTTCGATTGGGTTCAAGTCCGGGCTCTGGCTGGGCCACTCAAGGACATTCAGAGACTTGCCCCAAAACCACTCCTGCATTGTCTTGGCTGTGTGCTTAGGGTCGTTGTCCTGTTGGAAGGTGAACCTTCACCCCAGTCTGAGGTCCTGAGTGCTTTGGAGCAGGTTTTCATCAAGGATCTCTCTGTACTTTGCTCCGTTCATCTTTCCCTCGATCCTGACTAGTCTCCCTGCCTCTGAAAAACATCCCCACAGCATGATGCTGCCACCACCATGCTTCACCATAGGGATGGTGCCAGGTTTCCTCCCAACGTGACCCTTGGCATTCAGGCCAAAGTGTTTAATCTTGGTTTCATCAGACAAGAGAATCTTGTTTCTCATGGTCTGAGAGTCCTTTAGGTGCCTTTTGGCAAACTCCAAGTGGGCTGTCATGTGCCTTTTACTGAGGAGTGGCTTTCGTCTGGCCACTACCATAAAGGCTTGAATGGTGGAGTGCTTCAGAGATGGTTGTCCTTCTGGAAGATTCTCCCATCTCCACAGAGGAACTCTAGAGCTCTGTCAGAGTGACCATCGGGTTCTTGGTCACCTCCCTGACCAAGGCCCTTCTCCCAATGATTGCTCAGTTTGGCCGGGCGGCCAGCTCTAGGAAGAGTCTTGGTGGTTCCAAACTCCTTCCATTTAAGAATGATGGAGGCCACTGTGTTCTTGGGGACCTTCAATGCTGCAGACATGTTTTGGTACCCTTCCCCAGATCTGTGCCTCGAAACAATCCTCTCGGAGCTCTACGGACAATTTCTTCGACCTCATGGCTTGGTTTTTGCTCTGACATTTACATTTTAGTCATTTAGCAAGACGCTCTTATCCAGAGCGACTTACAGTTAGTGAGTGGATACATTTTCATACTGGCCCCCCGTGGGAAACGAACCCACAACCCTGGCGTTGCAAGCGCCATGCTCTACCAACTGAGCTACAGGGGACTAACATGCACTGTCAATTGCGGGACCTTATATAGACAGGTGTGTGCCTTTCCAAATCATGTCCAATCAATTGAATTTACCACAGGTGGACTCCAATGAAGTTGTAGAAACATCTCAAGGATGATCAATTGAAACAGGATGCACCTGAGCTCAATTTCGAGTCTCATAGCATAGGGTCTGAATACTTATGTAAATAAGGTATTTCCGATTTTTAATACATTTGCAAAAATTTCTAAAAACCTGTTTTCTCTTTGTCATTATGGGGTATTGTGTGTAGATTGCTGAGGATGTTGTATTTATTTAATCAATTTTAGAATAAGGCTTTAACGTAATAAAATGTGGAAAAGATCAAGGGGTCTGAATACTTTCTGAAGGCACTGTATATACACATTTATTTCCAAATCGTACTGGATTCCAGGTGTATCGGCCAATCAACCAATCAGATGTCCACAGAGTAACCCATCTTTCTACCGAGATTGCCCTAAAAATAAATACATTACCTAAGAGTATAATCATATTTCCCATTTACTGATGGTGGTTTTTCAGATGTCCTAACAGTACCGTTTATAGGTTCATCTGTACATAACATAAATGAGATGCAGGGTTTCCTTCATGTTTTGTACGCTCAGTGTATATCAGTTCATAAAACCCGATGCCATGAAGTCATGAAGACATACATACCTTAGGCATGGGGAACTGGCATGACCCTGAACAGTAGTAGGCGTCAAAAGCCTTGGGAGATATAATCCACTCGTTCCAACCAATGTCTGCAAAGTCCACCTTCAGGTAGCGGCGAGCACAGTTCCGTGGTTCGTTCCACTGCTTCCTACGAGACGTCTTTATCGTCTGCTCGTCAAACCGCAGCATCTTACCGCCGTGCCTCTGGCTCTTACTGCGCGTCTTTTTCCTCGGCCGATGGACTGGCTTGTTCTCCGGCGGTTCGTAGGAGCTGGTCTTGTCCCAGACCGGCGTCTCGTACGGGTACTCCGGTCCCGGTAACTCATTGTTCTGGAGCGGGAGGAGGACGCTAGGCGAGCGCCGGCGTCTGTGCGGAGGCGCCTGTTGTTGCGCGCCGGTGTTATTCTGAGCGTGCAGGCCCAGTCTATGGAAGCCGTAGGCGAACGCCCTTTCTTCCGTGGTCGTCGTGGTTTGATGCCTCTGATGCCTCTGTAGTGTCGACACCACACTCTGGGGTTCGGAGATGTCCGAGTCGTTGGCGTAGACCAGGATGTATGGAGAGCGGTCTGAGAGGAGCTTCTTCCAGGGCCTGGGTCCAGGCTGTGATGCCACGTCTATCCCGATCAGAAGCTCATCATGATGCTTGGCTTGGTTCGCCACCCGGGTGACGTCCTTCCACTGCCAAGAGATGAAGTCCCTGTACAGTGTAGACACGTTGATCACAAAGTGGCCCAAAGTCCTGGTGTGGTTATCCACTGAGGCGAAGCTCCAGACACCCATCTGGACGTGGCTGTGTCTCCTGGGGCCGTGGCGGGACGGGGAGGGGGCTCCACAGCTCCTGGGCCTGGGCCCGGTGGTGCTGCTGCTGCAGCCAGGGTGCTGGATGCTGTTCGGGAGGTCTCCTATGTAGTAGTGGAGCACAGCCGACAGGACGGCCTCTGACTTGGTGAGAGACGTCAGGTTGAAGATCTGGAGCCGCTGGTTGTTGATGGTGCCTGGAGGAGGAACAGCAAGGGGCAGTCAGAATAGAGAGTATAGTCCAGACAGGTCCACAAATCCATAGAATTACATGAATTCTAGCATCTCTATGAATTCTAGCATCTCTATGAATTCTAGCATCTCTATGAATTCTAGCATCTCTATGAATTCTAGCATCTCTATGAATTATAGCATCTCTATGAATTATAGCATCTCTATCTTTCAATTTAGTTTCAGACCTGGAGCAGAATATCATTCAATTAGAGATCAGGCTATATAGGCCGGGTCCACAAACCCTATCATTCAATTAGAGATCAGGCTACTGGCCCATTTCCCCCCTCCCAGGATTACATTTCATATAGGATAGAGGTTTACACAAGAAATAACTCATATTGGTAGCCATCTATTTCATATAGGATAGAGGTTTACACAATAAATAACTCATATTGGTAGCCATCTATTTCATATAGGATAGAGGTTTACACAATAAATAACTCATATTGGTAGCCATCTATTTCATATAGGATAGAGGTTTACACAATAAATAACTCATATTGGTAGCCATCTATTTCATATAGGATAGAGGTTTACACAAGAAATAACTCATATTGGTAGCCATCTATTTCATATAGGATAGAGGTTTACACAAGAAATAACTCATATTGGTAGCCATCTATTTCATATAGGATAGAGGTTTACACAATAAATAACTCATATTGGTAGCCATCTATTTCATATAGGATAGAGGTTTACACAATAAATAACTCATATTGGTAGCCATCTATTTCATATAGGATAGAGGTTTACACAATAAATAACTCATATTGGTAGCCATCTATTTCATATAGGATAGAGGTTTACACAAGAAATAACTCATATTGGTAGCCATCTATTTCATATAGGATAGAGGTTTACACAATAAATAACTCATATTGGTAGCCATCTATTTCATATAGGATAGAGGTTTACACAATAAATAACTCATATTGGTAGCCATCTATTTCATATAGGATAGAGGTTTACACAAGAAATAACTCATATTGGTAGCCATCTATTTCATATAGGATAGAGGTTTACACAATAAATAACTCATATTGGTAGCCATCTATTTCATATAGGATAGAGGTTTACACAATAAATAACTCATATTGGTAGCCATCTATTTCATATAGGATAGAGGTTTACACAATAAATAACTCATGTTGGCCATCTAGATGTCACGTGATACAGTCAACAACACCTGGAGTGTGAATGGCAACAACACCTGGACACAGCGTCCTTCGCTCCTGTTTGCCAAGCACTGCAGTCCCGCAACAGTGTGACATGTAACTACTATTCTGTAGCCAGTGTCAGAGGGTGACACTCACAGCAAGTACACCGCATGTACCGCGTCATCAGCAGTACCATCATCTAAAATAAACAGTCATCAGTTTTATTAACTGAAACTGTTAAATTATTTTGTGTTTGAAACTAACAGTGAAATATGACTCCGACCCATCCTCTCTGGCTTCATGACCCAACTCTCGCAGTAGTTCTGATGCTAAGTGAGATCCAACTCTGTAGACCCGTAGAGCAAGAAGCAGCCAGGAGCCAATAGAAAGAGAAGCAGCCAGGAGCCAATTGAAAGTGGGGGCTGGTCTTCCCTGGGTACAGGTCACTGTCGGACCGTTATTGGCACTGACCGCAGTGAACCCAGCCTATCCGTCCTGCATTATCAAGTCATGTCAGTAGGAGGCAGTAGTATCTCATGTATGGGTGCTGAAACCGGACTGGGGTTCTACCATAGAGAACGATAGCGGCCTCTAGTGGCCAAAAGCCTGTATTAGCATGGGCAGCACCATTGAGGACTTTCACCATTTTGATGTAGTCACCTGGGTGGGACTTCCTATTGGTTAAGGAAGGATCACATGATTCCATCCAGGTCATCAGGAGGGATCAGCCAATTCATTATACTGGTGAGCAAACATTCCGTAACTGCAGGTGGCAGTAAATCTTAGCTTTATACTTGTTCAAACAGCACCCTCCAGGTGGCAGTAAATCTTAGCTTTATACTAGTTATAATACAGTTTTTTCCAACTGCTTACACACGTTTTCAAAACTATGTCTCCTTTTTTCAAAACTCTACACACAATTCCCAAAACTGCACACACAAAATGCAAAATGCCTCACATCTCCTTCAAAATGTAACACTGCATTCAAAATGCCATAAACACATGTCAGAATGAAGCATTTGCATCAAATGGCAAACACATCTTTCATAATAGTACATTTTTGGATATACCATGTAAACACTGTTGTTCTAAATCTAAAGCTCTTTGGTCTTTCATAGGCTTATATCTACATTTCAATACAATGTTCTACAGTGAAAGTAATCTGCTGAGAGGGGTAACAAGTACACTGTAAACACCAATGCAATGTATAAACAGAAAATATTTATTAGGCCAAACATTACTGTTGTATACAGTAGCACACAACAAAACCATAAACATATGTAAACCAAAAGTATATTCTTTAGAATACAGTAAAGAACACAATTGTGTGTGTGGGGTCCCGGGGGGCAGTCCAGGAATTGGTAGGGGGGTGGGCAGTCACCAGTGCTAAGCTACGCTTCATCTCTTCTCCGGGCTGGGTCTGGCCACAATACTTTGTCCACATCACAAGATACGTTTTCTCTTGCCAAACATCGAGGGAAGTATCTCCTAGCATGGCGTATCCAACCTTGGACAGAGGCAACCTCTATGTCCCCACATGCGTCCTCCATTGCCTGGAGAAGCGGCATGCGGGCATAGGGTTGGCAATCATACACTTTCCAGCGCCAGGCTGAGAAGAATTCCTCTATGGGATTTAGAAAAGGTGAATATGAGGGTAGGTACAAAACTACAAATTGTGGATGGGTGGCAAACCAGTTTTGGACCAAAACAGCCCGGTGAAAACTAACATTGTCCCATATAACCACAAATCTAGCAGGCTCCTGATCTGGATCAGGGACAAGCATTGTGTAAATTGCATCCAGAAAAGTGAGCCTATGGCCGGTCTTGTACGGACCCAGTGTGGCATTGTGATGGAGGACCCCGTTTTGAGTGATGGCAGCACACATAGTTATATTACCCCCCACGCTGTCCAGGGACATTGGTAATTGCCCTCTGTCCTTTTACATTTCTTCCGCGGCGCCTGGTTTTGGTGAGGTTGAAGCCAACCTCATCCACATAAATAAATCTCCTTCCTTCTCTTCTTTGCCCTCGTCCTCTTCTTCCTCTTCCTCTTCATTTTCCTCTTCCTCCTTCTCCTCCTCTTCCAACACTTCGTCTTTGAATTTGTCCTCGTTGTTGTCCCCTGCCTCTCCCTCCTACTCCTCTTTCTCTCTGTCCATTGTTGGCATCCATTGTTCAAAACAGGTAATCTGACCTTTGACCTATTTATAGGCCTATAGTACAGTAAAGCAGTGATTGGTTAGTGATCAGTTAAGCAATTAGTGTTTGCAGATGTGAAGAGTGTGTGTGTGACCTGGTGAATAAGTGTAGCATTTTGAATGGTTGTGTTTGGAAAAGGAAAGCAAGTCACTTCCTGTTAGATTTTTGTGTTTTAGGTAGAGAATTGTGTGTAGTGTTTTGAAAAAAGTGTTTTATGCAATTGACAACTGAGTCAAAGGCTGAGAAATAGCTTATGGTTTTGGAGATTTGGTGTGTAGTTTTGCACTTTGAGTGAGAGGTTTCAAAAATCGTGTGACATGAAAAGATTTTGTGTGTAAGCAGTCGGAAAAAACTGTAATAATAATAATAGTTCAAACAGCACCCTCCAAGTGGCAGTAAATCTTAGCTTTATACTTGTTCAAACAGCACCCTCCAGGTGGCAGTAAATCTTAGCTTTATACCTGTTCAAACAGCACCCTCCAGGTGGCAGTAAATCTTAGCTTTATACCTGTTCAAACAGCACCCTCCCGGTGGCAGTAAATCTTAGCTTTATACTTGTTCAAACAGCACCCTACAGGTGGCAGTAAATCTTAGCTTTATACCTGTTCAAACAGCACCCACCAGGTGGCAGTATTCACCCTTTCAGTTTGTTTGCCAACTCATAGAAGTAATAGAAGAAGAAAATGGACTACCTCAAAGGCGCTACCCATGATCTCACAGACGTCATAGTGGGACAGATACAGTGATGCGTCCTCCATATTATAATATGCCATTTTAGCAGACGCTTTTATCCAAAGCGACTTAAAGTCACGTGTGCATGCATTTTTACGTATGGGTGGTCCCGGGGATCGAACCCACTACGCTGGCGTTACAAGCGCCATGCTCTACCAATTGAGCTACAGAGGACCACTGCATGGCTGCAGGCGCAAATATAATCCCACTGCTGTGGAAAGAGATTGTAGGACTCTATCATATCAGTGGTTATATACAGTGAGTGTACAAAACATTAGGGACACCTGCTCTTTGCATTACATAGATTGACCAGGTGAATCCAGGTGAAAGATATGATCCCTTAATGATGTCACTAAATCCACTTCAATCAGTGTAGATGAAGGGGAGGAGACAGGTTAAAGAAGGATTTTTAAGTCTTGAGACAATTGAGACATGGATTGTGTATGTGTGCCAATCAGAGGGTGAATGGCAAGAGCAAATATTTAAGTGCCTTTGAACAGGGTAAGGTAGTAGGTGCCAAGCGCACCGGTTTGAGTGTGTCAAGAACTGCAACGCTGCTGGGTTTTTCACGCTCAACAGTTTCCCATGTGTATCAAGAATGGTCAACCACCCAAAGGACATCCAGCCAACTTGACACAACTGTGGGAAGCATTGGAGTCAACATGGGCCAGCCTCCTTGTGAAACGCTTTCAACTCCTTGTAGAGTCCATGCCCCCGCGAATTGAGGATGTTCTGGGAGCAAAAGGGAGTGCAATGCAATATTAGGAGGGTGTTCCTAATGTTTTGTACACTCAGTGTAGCTACAGTGATAACTACATAACGGCCTCTTGAAAGTAATTTTTTTTATATTTAAGAGTTAAATAGGCCACACCAGCCGAGTTTAGTCCAGCCATTCGAATACATAATCTTCATAAATTTAGAGAATATGCAGATTTAACACACAAAGACGGAATTTATACCAGTCACATTGTCATGTGCACATGTGTAACAGGCTTGAAATACTGTTCGTCCGAATAATGTCCATACTAAGCAACAGGTGAAGCAGCCGTTCCGTTTGGTTTAACAGACTCCACGTTTTATTGGATGGGGTTTTGGATCAACAGGTGCTTCAACCTAGTCCAAACTATACACCACAGAACAATTGAATGACTAGCAATAAAATCATGAAACTACAGCCTCTAGAAACCCTATAACCCATGCTATGGTAGTATGATGGTTGCTTCATGGTACCTTAAAACACGCAGCGGCCGTTTGGATAAATCAGCTACATACCCCAGTGCGCTTTAAAGCTGCGGACAGTATTCCCGTCCTTGAAAGGAAATCCTGCACGGTTGTATTGCTCGTAAAGCATCTGCATGTGTTCCGTCATAATATCACGTAAAAGCAGGTCGTGCTCATTCTTCTCTGAGCGGTCTTTGTCCCCCCGGGTCGCACTGGAGTGCCCAGATTCACCTTTTATTCTTAAATCTGTGAAATGATCTTTCATCATGGCGCAATAGCCACCATATAGATAGCTCCACCCGAGCATCAGCAGCAGCAGTAACTGCGGACAGATCGCCATGGTCCCGGTGAGAGTAGGCTAGTGGTGGACACTTTCAAAACGAACTTGCTGGTGAAAAGCTGTCGCTCCGAGCGCGTTTCCCCAGGTCGTCTTATCTGTGAAAATGGATGGCATCACCTGGAGAGGTGACCCTGGTTGAAAAATTATATAATCTCCTGAGAATCTCGACACTCACTGAAAGAAAGAAAGAAAGAAAGAAAGAAAGAAAGAAAGAAAGAAAGAAAGAAAGGAAGGAAGGAAGGAAGGAAGGAAGGAAGGCAGGAAGAAGGGGAAGTAATTAAGAAATAAATCAATATATTACAATAGAAAGAAAGAAAGATGAGGTGGTAGCCGAGAGAAGAATAGTGCGCTCTGTTCCTGGATAGTGCGATGCGCTCTCTGCTTGTCGTGCGCCACTCGTTTAAAAGTTACAAGTTGATATCCTGTCAAAGTTGTTCTGCTCTCTCTCTCTCTCTCTCGGTTGGGTGAATAAGGTCTCCCAGTGCGATGTCATAGCTAATAGCGGCGAATAAGGGCTCCCACCTCCCAGTTCAGTTGGTTATGTTCAGATCTGAGCAGATCTCTATGGATCGACAGCCAATCGTCCCCGTTCTCAGCTTTCATTGAAGGTGAAGCATGTTGTGCTTGGTGATATATAGGGGTAGTGGGACCAGCGGGCTATTCCTCCCTCTGAGAGAGAGGAGAGAGAGAGAGAGAGAGAGAGAGAGAGAGAGAGAGAGAGAGAGGAGAGAAGAGAGAGGAGAGAGAAGAGAGAGAGAGAGAGAGAGAGAAGAGAGAGAGAGAGAGAGATACGTCCGAGATAGGAAGAGAGAGAGACACTTTGTAATCTCGTTTCTATAATTTAGTAAGTTAATATAATGCTAAAACAATAGTCTATTTAGGGTATTTAAATACTTAACCAAAAACATTGACTTAACATAATAATGATTCAATTAGGCTACAACCAATGATGTATACAGTATAAACACTGGATTGCTGATGCTATGTATTGGCCATTTTGAGGCTTTGAAGCCGCTGGTCGGCCACATTGGCACTCCGAGTAGGAGCGGTCCTCCATAGGAATGAATGGAATTCTACAGTATTTCAATTAAATGTTTTAAGGACAAACGTGTATTTCAGTATTTTTTTGTTGTAGTTGTAGGGGACAATAACATTAGAACTTTCAAAAAATGATAAGGAAAATGTTTTTATATTTGTTTTAAATGTTTAGCTCACAAAATATAATTAAAAAATATGCATTAAGGTTTCTGTAATAGAATAAATGTGGCAAAAACAAATGTAGACATTAATAAATACATTTCTAAAACTTCCAAAATACTTTTTAGACCGGTGGGGGAGTTCTTATCCAGAGCGACTTACAGTTATTGAGTGCATACATTTTTTTTTTTTCATACTGGCCCCCCGTGGGATCGAACCCACAACCCTGGCGTTGCAAGCGCCATGCTCTACCAACTGAGCTACACATACTGTAAAACACAATATGGTTGTTATAATAAAGTTATTTGGGAAATATTTTCACTGGTGTTAAAATTGTTTTATCTTATCACGTCTCCAAACAGCCCCTGTAGTTGTGATCAACCAACCGAGTCGACGTGTTTCATCATGTCATCTCAACGGTCGACGTGTTTCATCATGTCATCTCAACGGTCGACGTGTTTCATCATGTCATCTCAACGGTCGACGTGTTTCATCATGTCATCTCAACGGTCGACGTGTTTCATCATGTCATCTCAACGGTCGACGTGTTTCATCATGTCATCTCAACGGTCGACGTGTTTCATCAAGTCATCTCAACGGTCGACGTGTTTCATCATGTCATCTCAACGGTCGACGTGTTTCATCATGTCATCTCAACGGTCGACGTGTTTCATCATGTCATCTCAACGGTCGACGTGTGAAACGTACTTCAGCAAAGCGCTGTGTGTCTGGCCCGCACGTGGTGCTGAATGAAACGGCTTGTCGGGTATTTGTATTTTGTATTTGTATTTATTATGGATCCCCATTAGTTCCTGCCAAGGCAGCAGCTACTCTTCCTGGGGTTTATTATGGATCCCCATTAGTTCCTGCCAAGGCAGCAGCTACTCTTCCTGGGGTTTATTATGGATCCCCATTAGTTCCTGCCAAGGCAGCAGCTACTCTTCCTGGGGTTTATTATGGATCCCCATTAGTTCCTGCCAAGGCAGCAGCTACTCTTCCTGGGGTTTATTATGGATCCCCATTAGTTCCTGCCAAGGCAGCAGCTACTCTTCCTGGGGTTTATTATGGATCCTCATTAGTTCCTGCCAAGGCAGCAGCTACTCTTCCTGGGGTTTATTATGGATCCCCATTAGTTCCTGCCAAGGCAGCAGCTACTCTTCCTGGGGTTTATTATGGATCCCCGTTAGTTCCTGCCAAGGCAGCAGCTACTCTTCCTGGGGTTTATTATGGATCCCCATTAGTTCCTGCCAAGGCAGCAGCTACTCTTCCTGGGGTTTATTATGGATCCCCATTAGTTCCTGCCAAGGCAGCAGTTACTCTTCCTGGGGTTTATTATGGATCCCCATTAGTTCCTGCCAAGGCAGCAGCTACTCTTCCTGGGGTTTATTATGGATCCCCATTAGTTCCTACCAAGGCAGCAGCTACTCTTGCTAGACTCTTACCCGTAGACATGGAGGAATGCTTCACGGCAGACTGTAGACCCTTTTATTAAATAAGACGTCCTGTGTCGTTTCCGTATTGTTTGTACAGCTTGGCCCGTTGTGTCAAGAATCGTCCTCCTGAAAATAGTCCATCACAACTTTTTCCGACATACCTTTGTCGATAGAGCCTGATAAATTCAGGGCAGCAACGTTATTGAGCGCACATTGCAGTTCTCCATGGCTAACGTTCTGTCTTAAAAACAAAAACTGCAGTAGAAAGGATTACACATAACGAGCAGCTCATTTTTTAGACAGAAGATGCTACACGGCAGACCAATCCGAAACTCATCTCTTGGCATGTCCAGCCCATTCATTATCTCAGCCAATCACGGCTAGCGGGAAGGTTCCTGTCTTTTACTGTGGCTAAACAAACTAGGCTCGTAATTTAAAAACGTTATTCGTATTTACAGATGACATACAACTTTGTTATTAAGACACATGAAAGTTCAAATGTGCCAGAAGGCATTTCTGCCAAAAAACGCATTTAAAAAAAAAAAAAAAAAAAAAAAGTTAAAATGTCTCTCCTGTGAAGTCGTGACTTGCGACACACGTCTAGTATACTGAAATGAGTCACATACAGTGGGGAGAACAAGTATTTGATACACTGCCGATTTTGCAGGTTTTCCTACTTACAAAGCATGTAGAGGTCTGTAATTTTTATCATAGGTACACTTCAACTGTGAGAGACGGAATCTAAAACAAAAATCCAGAAAATCACATTGTATGATTTTTAAGTAATTCATTTGCATTTTATTGCATGACATAAGTATTTGATACATCAGAAAAGCAGAACTTAATATTTGGTACAGACACCTTTGTTTGCAATTACAGAGATCATACGTTTCCGTGTAGGTCTTGACCAGGTTTGCACACACTGCAGCAAGGATTTTGGATTTTATTGCATGACTGTGTATAAGACAGCTCAGGAAATCTTTTAGTTTTTTTGGACACACATTATTTAACCCCTTATTTTTGTTGGCACTTAACTACCCCCATACATCGTGTTCGTGAGAGTCTCCCCTTTCCATTGTGGGGTCAAATTAGTTTGTAGCTCAAACGGTTTGGACGCTACAGACAGAAGTTGTCACATCAGCGTTACAGTTGTGGGGGTGGTAGAAGAAAATGGAGAACACCATTGTGTTTGTGTTTATTTTTATTTATTTATTTCTCCTTTATTTAACCAGGTAAGCCAGTTGAGAACAAGTTCTCATTTACAACTGCGACCTGGCCAAGATAAAGCAAAGTAGTGCGATAAAAACAACAACACAGAGTTACATATGGGGTAAAGAAAAAAACATAAAGTCAAAAATACAACAAAAAATATATATACAGTGTGTGCAAATGTAGCACGTTATGGAGGTAAGGCAATAAATAGGGCATAGTGCAAAATAATTACAATTTAGTATTAACACTGGAATGATAGATGTGCAAGAGATGATGTGCAAATAAAGATACTGGGGTGCAAATGAGCAAGATAAATAACAATATGGGGATGAGGTAGTTGGGTGGGCTAATTTCAGATGGGCTGTGTACAGGTGCAATGATCGGTAAGGTGCTCTGACAACTGATGCTTAAAGTTAGTGAGGGAGATAAGAGTCTCCAGCTTCAGAGATTTTTGCAGTTCGTTCCAGTCATTGGCAGCAGAGAACTGGAAGGAATGGCGGCCAAAGGAGGTGTTGGCTTTGGGGATGACCAGTGAGGTATACCTGCTGGAGCGCATACTACAGGTGGGTGTTGCTATAGTGACCAATGAGCTAAGATAAGGCGGGGATTTGCCTAGCAGTGATTTATAGATGACCTGGAGCCAGTGGGTTTGGCGACAAATATGTAGTGAGGGCCAGCCAACAAGAGCGTACAGGTCACAATGGTGGGTAGTATATGGGGCTTTGGTGACAAAATGGATGGCACTGTGATAGACTACATCCAATTTGCTGAGTAGAATGTTGGAGGCTATTTTGTAAATGACATTTACATAACATTTACGTCATTTAGCAGACGCTCTTATCCAGAGCGACTTACAAATTGGTGCATTCACCTTATAGCCAGTGGGATAACCACTTTACAATGTATTTTTTTTTTGGGTAAGGGGTGGGGTGGGGTAAGGGGGGGTAGAAGGATTACTTTTTCCTATCCCAGGTATTCCTTAAAGAGGAGGGGTTTCAAATGTCTCCAGAAGGTGGTGAGTGACTCCGCTGTCCTGGCGTCATGAGGGAGCTTGTTCCACCATTGGGGTGCCAGAGCAGCGAACAGTTTTGACTGGGCTGAGCGGGAACTGTGCTTCCGCCGAGGTAGGGGAGCCAGCAGGCCAGAGGTGGATGAACGCAATGCCCTCGTTTGGGTGTAGGGACTGATCAGAGCCTGAAGGTACGGAGGTGCTGTTCCCCTCACAGCTCCGTAGGCAAGCACCATGGTCTTGTAGCAGATACAAGCTTCAACTGGAAAGCCAGTGGAGTATGCGGAGGAGCGGGGTGATGTGAGAGAACTTGGGAAGGTTGAACACCAGACGGGCTGCGGCATTCTG